AAAGTTTGTTATGCTAGTGAAATTCATACACATCTTCATTCATTGCTATGACTTGAACATGGTTTGTTCCAAGATCATGTAGGAATTTAATCTCCGAAACCTTACATGAATGGCATTAAGAGGGTGGACATTTAATCTAATTGTGCTATTTAGAGGTGGGGCCATTAGGAGTGATTAGATTGAGTTGGATCATTAGGGTGGAGCCCCTCATGATTGAATCATGGTGGCTTTATGAAGAAAGAGAGAGGTGTCACATATGGATGGAGATGTACATGTGCTCCTGCCGTACCACCATCTAATGCAGCTTGGGGGACCCTCATGAGACTATTAGCTTGCAAGACTGTGAGCTAAATAAGCCTCTTTTCTTTATAAGTTAGGCTCCCTCAGGTACAGTGGTACCTAGGTTCATGAACTTAATTCTTTCCACAATTCTGGTCACAGAATTTGCTCCATTTTATGATCAGAATCATGGCAAGAATTAAGTTTGGGAACCTAGGTACCACTGTATTTTGTTACAGTAATGAAAAACTGGCTGATACATTCCTGGTTCATGCTTTCTTATAGTTCTATGGTTTTCCTAGTTTTTAGCCTTCTCATTTAGGCTTATGATACATTTGAGATTTATTCTTGTGTATGTCATGAGGTAAGGATTGAGGCCTCATTTTTTAAAATACAGGAATCCAGTTGTTTCAGCACTGTTGTTGAAAGAACCATCCTCCTGCGTTGAATATTTTGGCACCTTTTTGAAAAGCTCTTGGAATATGTTGCTGTGTGCAGTTTGAGTTACTCTCTCCACAAGATGTATCTTGTCCACATGACAATGCTGTGTTGTCTCGTGTCTGAGTCACAGAATCAGCCACCTGTGTCAGTTTTCCAGCTTATTTTTTCCTGAAAATTTCTTGGCTACTCAGACCCCTTGTATTTTAATGTAAATCTTGGAATCTGCTTGGTGATATCTACTTTTAAAAATTTGTTGTGTATTGGTTAGGATTTTGTTGACTCTGTAGATCACTTTGAAAATTGACATCTCAACAATATTGTCTTCCAACCCATGAACACATTTCTTTTATTTATATGTTCTCCCATTTCTTTCAGCAGTGGCTTTATAGTTTTCAGTATGTGTATCTTTTTACATTTCTCTTATTGACTTCCTGATTTTCATACAGTTACAAATAATATTGTTTACATTTCATCTTCTACTTGGTGACAATTCAGCAGTACAGTCGGTTTTTGCCCTGCTATGTATGCTAGACTGTCTTGGGTTCACTCATTAGCTCTAGGAGCTTTTCTAGGGATCCCTTGGGATGGTCCACATGGATGGACGTATGTCAGTAATGGAAGCATTTGTGCTCCCTCATCTCTCAGCCTGGTGCTCCTCTTTTCCCTGTGACAGGGCATTCAAATGTGTGTGATAAGCCAGTGCCGTGCATGGCTGGCCTTTCTCCAGGAGCAAGTGAGATGTGGCTTCTCTTGTTCTTAACTAACAGGTTCTCTTCCCCCTACCTTTCTTGGTCTCAATCACAAATAAGTGTTGAATTTTGTCAAAACTTTTTACTGAACATATTTTGTGCTTTCTGACCTCTTATTCCCCTAGGAGAATTATACGCATGGGCTTTGGGTATTAAAGCAACCCTGCATCTCTTGGATAAACTCCTCCTGGTCATGGCATATTATCTCCTTTATGTATGCTTGGATTCAGCTTTCTAATACTTTGTAAAGGAGTTTTGCTACTGTTTTCCTGAATGATATGTGGTTTCCACTCACAGAGTTTAATTTAGATTGGTCTTAAAAGTGGTTTTACATTATATACAGTTTCTTCTCAATTTTCTGATGTTGTATAGCACTGATAGGATTTTCTCTTTGATAGTGAGGCTGCACCTGTGTGTTTTGGGGATGTCTCTGAGTACAAATGTGACCCCTTCGGAACCCCAGAGCTCTAGGTTGCCTGTCTCTCTTGAATCTGATTGGATAGTTTGTATCTCTAGATGGATTATGCCGTTGCATCTTTGTCAGATTTATTGGCATGATGTCTCACTTCTTACCTTTTCCGTGCTGGATCTGTAGTCATATCCCCTCTTCTCTCTTCACATTGATGACTTGGGTTTTTTAAAGTTTGTTTAGCTATGGCTATGTAATTTGTGTTCCTTTCAGAGAATACTTTTGGTTTCACTGACTGTTTTTGTCATAGGTCTGTTTCTTTGTCCTTATTTTCTCTATCATTTCTCTCCGTCTACTTCTGCGTGTGTGGTTTGCTGATTCCTTTGGTGGATTCTGGGGCACTGCTTTGGTTGTCCTCTTTCTGAGGTCAGAGCTTCAAGCAGCAGCTCCCTTAAGCATTGCTTTGCTGCATTCCCTGTGCTTGCTGCCTCTTTCCTCCCTTCATCCCACTTTTGGCTTTTTGTGGTAGAAGGAGTGGTTCCGGAGCTGTGGTGTGGGACTCTGGCTTGGGCTTGTCACTGATCTTCAAATGCCTTTCCCCTCTGACTGCCTGCCTTGGTAAGTGAACATCCTTCGTCATCCCGTCCATAACTCCATCTTGGCTTGCTGGCTGGCCACGTTCTGTTGCTACCAAGGCTGTGGCAGAGTGATCAGATGCCTGGAGGCTGCTAGATTGGGTAAGGGGGCTTTACTTGCTTTCATCCTGCACAATGGCCACAGTTTATAAATGACAGAGAAGAGATACTCCTGGAAGAGGACCTGCACATCCCATGACAGAAGCAGGCTGCTGTTACTGTAGCACAAATGGATCCAGGAAGATGTGCCAGGCACATATGGCCCATTCCCTGCCACCATTTGGATAGAGCCTGGGGAGGAGTGGAGAGGTCACTGCTATGCAAAGGCTAGTGTGGGTAGTGGCTAGTCTATCTCCCAGAGACCTGGCTGGGGCTTGTGCTGGGGACTTTGTCACTACCCTGCAGTTGAAGCACCAGTCATCCTTCCAGGTGGCTGCCTGTCTGCCTAGGGGCTGCTGGGTTACAGTAGAACAGAGTGAGACAGGGAGTGTCTGGCTTGGTCAAAAACAGCAGAGACTGTGGGGCTGTAGGAGAAGGAGCCAGGGAAAGGGCAGTATTAGGAGGTGGAATCGGGATGCAGGGGTGTCTGTTCCTGGTAGGCGGGGCCAGAATACCATTTGGTGGACTTTGGCTTTGTGGGGAATCAAACGTGGACTCACCGGTGAGCACTGAGGCTTGGAGTAAGATGACTTGGACATGCTTTAAGCAGCACTGCTCAGGTTGCTAGGTAGGAGCTGGAGTATGCTGTGGTGGTGGCCGGGTGGGGCTGAGGGGAGTGGATAGGGCTGTGGGGTACGCATGCGAGGAGGCCAAGTGGGATCCCTGGTGGCAAATGGGGCCAGTGGGGTGAGGGAGCTGTGCAGCCTACGCACTCATTCCTGGGTGTTAAACAGGTTGTTGGCCAATGTACTGTACTGTGGGCTGGACCGAACATGGGAGAGTTAAGGTGGGCTTTGGTCACCAGAGCTGGGGCTCTGCTGCCGGGACTGGAAGGGCAGCACTACAGAGGCTGAGGTGGGGATGAGGAAGGGGCATGTGGTCATCTGGGTAGAGCTGCCAAGGGCGACTTAGGTAGGCTATTCTGGAGTTCAGGTCATGCCAGGGCTAGATTTAGGGGTGGCAGCAGTCAGATGAGACTCAGACTACAAGGCTGGTAAGGTCACTGTAGATCTTTTCATGAGGGCAGTAGTGAGGAGGTGGCCTAGGGCCGAGCTCTGGGTTCTGACACTGGGAATTCAGAATGGGGAAGGAGGTGAGACCCAACTGGGTCCAGTAACTATCTATGTGACTGAGTTATCGGGGCAGGACAGTCCCGACCCCAACCATCAGCCTTTTCATGACCTGGAGGCACAAGGTCATCTCACACCTTATCCTTGGCTCCTCCTCCTGACATACGTGGCTCCCCAGCATATGCTAGCTGCCATTCCCCTTTTTCTATGTGCCGCATGCTTTGCCCCCCACAGGCCATTTAGGGTTGGGGCTGGGTGGAAGGACGGTGGGGTCCCACCTGCAGGACATCTATCTCATTCTGCGCCCCCAAGGCCTGCATGGTGTCTGCCCTGACCACTGTGAGGGTGAGGGAGCTGTGCAGCTTTGGCACAGCCTGCACAGGGTGCAGTGCAAGAGTGCGGGCATTTGGGCTACATCTCAAAGTGTCAGGGAGGGTTCTCTTGTTCCTGCTAGACCAAGATCTTTTCCTTGCTTGGCTGTGTGGGCCCAGAGCAGGGCCATGGTCAAGTCTGCCCTACTGTCCCTCGAGTGGGGAGGAGACCAGCTCCAGCAGCGATTGGTTGGTGCTTTTTTTATTTTTCTTTGGGATCACACTCTTAGTTGTAACTGGTGCAGTGCTGGGGAGACCTGCTTCTCATCTCGTGCATCACTGGTCTGGAGGTGACAGCAGCCTCACCCAGGGGCCTTCAGAGGCCCCTTCCATGCAGCCTGAGGGCTCCTCTATGGGATGCTGCAGCTGAGCCTCCTTGGTGGTGCAGACGCTCTCCACAATGGGTCTTCAGGGCTCCAAGCTCTACATGTATGGGATATCTGAGGTGGACCAAGTGATAGTGGTTTGGTGACTTTATTGTGCCATCCCTACCATCAACCATGTGCCCCCCACCCAGAACTCACCTTGTTTTCTCCCTTGTCTGCTCACCTGTGCCTGCTCTGCCTCTCCTGTCTCTTCCTATATTCTCTGCCTGTTCCCGTCCCCTGCCCCAACTCCTTACCATCTCTCTGGGTTGGCATCTTTGGTGTTTTTCTCTCTCCTTATGGCTCTCTATTATTCTCCTCATCTTTGCCTCTTGCTCTAACTCTCCTAATTTCTCCTGTTTCTGCATCTCAGTGCCTCTGCATGTTTTGTCTACCATCTCTGCTTCATCACCCCCTCTGCCTGTCCCTGCTCCTTTGTGCCCTTGGCTATGTCCTCCCTGGGCTTCTTATGCCTTCCATCTCTCCCCTGACTCTCTACTCCTGGCTCCTTCTTTGCCCCAGGCACACTGTGCAACAGGAGACCAACAAAGCCATCTCGACCAGCACCAGTGCCATAAAGCAGATGTTGGAGCTCCTTCGACGCTCCTGCCTGGTATGTTTCCTTGGGGAGCTGGGGCCTGGCCGAGGCAGATTCTGGGGGGCAAGTGAGAAGGAAGTCCCTAGTGTCTGCAGCAGTCAGGAATATGGCAGGGGAAGAATACTTGGAGACTGATATGCAAAGAGGGACTCTCAGGCTGGCCTGGGCTGGCCTGATGTGGCTCTGGGGTCCAGCAGCCAGCACATTCAGTCATTTGGACTGTAGCTGTTTCGTGAGACTGGCTGTGTGCCGAGTGAAGCCACTGTGATTCCCTGCTCTTTGGGGGTTTATGTCATAGTAGGCATGAGAGTAGCCTGGGTCTTCCTGGCCTGGCCTCTCTGGGAGATGGATGATCACCATCATTAGTCTTAGTGTCCTCTTACTCTTCTGCTCCCCATGCCTTCCTATCCCATACTTCCTCCCCTTCCTGTGCTCCTCTGCTTGTACCCATCATTCCTCAGGCCTACACATGTGCCCTCATCTTGCTCCCCATCACATAGTCACTGCCCTCCTCCTCACAGCGCATGTTCATCACCATTCGCACTACCACCTGACTGTCCCAGCCACAACTGCCACTACCCCAGCTCCACTGCCACATTTCCCCCATGCCAGATCAACACACTGCCTCTTTGTTACCCATACCCTACGCAGGACCCCAAAGATTGGAGGGTATTTGTTACAGAAGATTAACTACTGTTAACCTAGGGTTTGACGAGCAGAAGTAGGCAGACTTTGGCTGCCCCCTGCCACCTGTTTCATGTAGCTTTATTGTACCCAATCTCATCAGTGGCAGACGTATTGTCTATGACTGCTTTCCTGACAGGGTGCAGCCTGGATAGTTGCAATGCACTGTCCAGCTTACTTTCCTAAATACTGAGCATCTGGCCCTTGAATGAAAACGTCTGCCAACCTCTACTGGAGGAGGTGTGCATAGTGTGGCACAACATTGCAGGGGGCCACTACTCAGCAGCAGAAAGAAATGGGGTTTGAAGACCTGCCGTGGTGTGGGCGCGCTTCAAAGACAGCATGCTGGGGGAAGGAAGCCAGGCATGCCTGTGCACGTAGTCTGAGTTCTGTCTGTGTCACATGTCCAGAAAATGCAGATCTTTGGAGACAGAAGGTGGATTAGTGGCTGCTACAGGCTGGGAGTAGGATGGGATGAACTATACTCAGGCACAAAAACACTTTGACGTGATGAGAATGTTCTAACCCTGGATTGTGGTGATAGTTGTACAATTGCATACCTAAAGCAGGTGTGTTATTTGCTCTCTAAATTATGCTTTAGCGAAAGTATTACTAAAAAATTTAGTAAGACCGATCCCCAAAGAGGAGTTATACTAAAAAAACATGTCATAGAGGCGGCAGCCAGTTGTCCAGTGATGGAATAGACAGTCTTAGACTACACAAGTCTGTAGCACTTAGCTCTGGACAGCTGACAGCTATTCTGCATGTGATTTAGTAATAACAGCTGCAGCTTTTCAGGGGGAATGGCAGATGCTCCTCTGATTGTGGCTCTTTGGTGGGACATTGGGACTCTTTATAGGGTCACTCTGAAGAACATGATTAGCACCAACATTTCCAGTGGCTTGGCTACCTTGCTTGACCTTTTCACCAGCAGCGTTGTTCTTTATTCTTTGACTTGCATGTGCTTTCATCTGTTATTCATTTGTTCATTCATCAAAAATGCTGATTAGAGCTGGGCATGGTGGTGCATACCTGTAACCCCAGCCCTCAAGAGGGAGGCTGAGGCAGGAGGATCACTGTGAGTTCAAGGCCAGCTTGGGCTACATAGTGAGTTCAAAGCTAGCCTGAACTATATAGCGAGACCCTGTCTCAAAAAAATGCTGATTCAGTACCTTTTATGTGACTTGTGTTCTACAGCTCAAAGTAGGCTGCATTGAGATCTGTGGCACAGGAGCAGTCGGCCTCACTGGGCTGTTTTCTGGTGAGGTTGACTACTTGTTTGGTACAGTCAGTGGATGTTTATTTGATGCCCACAGTGTCCTTGATTTTGTGGGATATGCACACTGGTATCAGAAGCAGCTCTTTGATTTTTGGAATGAGGTTAAGGCTGTGATGGCCCGCCTGGTCCTTGTGAAGTCACCCTAAACCAGGCCTTGTGCTGAGCCTGTCACTCTCTCCTACCCTCCAACAGCATTGCTGGATAATCTCACCCCTTTGCTTTGAAGAGGTCCTTCCTAAGGCATTAGAGCCAAAGAGGAACCTGGCTGAATGTGAAGTCTGCTCTTTCCAGGTCCAACTCTCACCTCTTCATATGCCAACAGGCCACCACACAGAGCTTGAGCCCTCGAGCATCCAAAGGGGCTATTCAACACAGTCATCCCTTGGTGTTCATAGGGGATTGGGGCCAGGACCACCCCTGGATACCAAAGCCCATGATGTGCCTTGATGTAAAAGCATTTGTATATAACCTATGGGACACATATTCAACTTAAAGGAGAAAGAGTTTGTTTTCATTCTTGGTTTCAAAGGTTTCAGTCCATGGTTAGCTGGCTCAAAGGCAGACACACGGTGGAAAGCCATGGTAGAGGAAGCTCCTCAACTCATGGCAGCCAGGAGGCAGACAGCAGTGGGAGAATCAGAGAAGAAGGGGCCATGGACCACATCTAGCTCCTCAGGTCATACCCTATGGCCCACCCAGATACACCCGGAAGTGTGCTTTACTAATCTCTTTGGTGTCTCAGTTCTTGAGGATGTGAGGCCCTTTTGGTGGCTTTCTGAAGCTTTTTCATCAGCTTACCCTGCTTCTCTGGGGCTCTTCAAAGATCGCTGCAGATCTCTGCTGGACATTGCCAATGTCTGCCAGTCCCCTGTGGTCTCCATAGGTTACCACCAGTCTCTGCTGTTCTGAACTCTTCACTGCTCTGCCACTCCCTGGAGCTCTTCAGGGCTAATGCCCTTAATGTTACCAACTTTTTAGTGTAATCCATACAACCCACTCTACCTAAGAACCTCAGGAAGGCAATAGAACCACCCAAGTGAGACTTTTATTGGGACCTGTCCTGCAGCATGTGGGTAGGTAGTACACCTAGACTACCCAGATGAGTGTGGTGGAATGCTATTTATATAGAAGAGTAGGAGTAGACCCATACATGCAGTTTTTTATATTTTGAGGATCTGTTTGGGGGTTTTTAGAGGCACTGAGGGTGGCTGCAGAGCAGTCATCTAGGACAGGCGAATATCTCCTGGAGCAGTTGTGGAGCATCTAGGACAGCTTCAGCTGTCATGGCAACAGCACAGTAAACTTCATGAGAAGCTTCATGACAGTTCCTGTGTCTCTGTTATGGTGATGGGGCTGAAATTGCTACTGTTGCCACTCTCACAGAGTCTCTGGGAGGGATGGCTGTATTCACTGGCCCACTGGGGTTTGGGATTTTTGGAGATATCAGCAATGGCCTTTAGTGCCACCCCATCTTTGCCCTATAGTGGTAGTTTTTCAGGGTTCCTCAGAAAGGTGGCACCAACACCTGTGTGGTCTAGAGTGGGGCAGGGGTTGCAGCTGTTGACCAATCTGTACCTCCTATCCATGCAGCCCAGAGAGCAGCCACTGAAGCAAACACAGAGGTGGTGGGAGATGCTGGGGCTATTTTCTCAGGTCACCCTCGTGGAGGTGAAGGGAAGGAGGAGGAGAGGCATGATAGCCATCAAGTTGATCGCACCCTATCTGGCCCTCAGAGGGAAAGGAGGACCATTCGATTTTGTTTGTTTTTGTTTTTTTTGGTACTGGGAATCGAACTCAGGACCTTGCGTTTGCCAGGCAGGTGCTTGTGCCACTGAGCTATATCCCTGGCTTTGGAAAGACCACTTGGCCTCACTGCTTTGCATCTCACTCTCACAGTGCCATTAGATGACTCATGAACCAGTGTTCACTGGCTTGGGCAAGTGCAGGGTGTGATGAGGGCTCAGTGGCAGGAGTGAGACTGGCTACATGTCTGTGGCTCCGTGGGGGACTGATGTTGTGGCCCTGCGGTGACTGAAGGTATGATGTAGCAGCTGCCAGTGTGGGAGATGATGACTGGAGGAGAGAGGTCTTGAGTCACAGCTAGCTAGGTGTGAGGGCATGGCTGCATAAGTGGTAAGTTTAGCTCAGCCTGTGGTGCATAGGAACAAAGAGCCCATGCTCCTTCCGTGGTTCAGCAAGAATCTGGGATTAAGAACCTCTGAGCATACCTCTTAATAGCTCACCACATCCTGCCCCATCTCTGGGGAATGATGGAGAGGATAAATGTCATCAAAACCACCACCATCAACAAGTGAGGGCTACTGGAGCCCAGCTGTCCTCTTATCCAGTGCTTGCTGCTCCTATAGCATAGACGTGGAGCCCTTGTTCTCAGAGTCTGGAGCATGAAAGCAGCCCCAATGCAGTGTGCCCAGGCCCCTGCTCTCCTTCCTGAGTTGGCCTGATGTGCCAGGGTACATGATCTCTATCTAACATGGGATGTCAGCACAGCCCCTTAGAGGTATACACAGGGATGTGTGCCAGGAAGTGCTATCCAGAAAAAATTATGTCTGATGCTCATTGTGATGGACTGCAGAGCAGATGGTGTTTGGCTCTCCCAGCTCCTTTTCATGTGTGGTACCTCCCTGGACAGCAATACAGGCTACACAGAGCTTCTGGTCCAGTAGGAAGACCAGTAGGTGCAAGAACTGTGGCACAGGATAGAAAGCCTGTCTTGTGGCTTATGCAACAGCCTTCCTGCCCACATCTAGCTCCTTCTCTTCATGGGAGTAGTGGTGGTGGATGGCCATGCCCCAAAAACTCCTAGTCTGAGAGTATGTGGTCTGTGGCCTGAGAGGCCTGTCCCCATACTGATCCAGAGCACTGGAAGCTGGTGTGATTTTCTTGCTGCCAATTCCATGTGGCAGGATGTGGGACGGTGGGCTTTGGTGGTCAGTTGTGCTTACATCAAACCTGAGCCGGTAGGACTGGATTCAGGGCACATTTGCCTGGTCCCTCACTTGGTAAGTGCTTCTTCTAGAGCAGCAGTGGTAAC